TGGGTGTTGTATTCCAGAAACATCTGGAGTGACACAGGATCTGCAGCACTGTTATAAGAAGCAAAAGTCAGTACAGTAAACTTTTATAATGTGCAGTTACAATGTCAGTCAGTGCAGTATTTACATGCGCGGTTGCACATACGAAGCTGTCTAGGAACACCTCTGTTTTCTTAGCTTTTGAGGTATTCTGCATGTACTGAAAATTGTTTTACCATGTTTGATGATACATGGCACAATAATGAATTTGCTTCCATTTAACCCAACCTTTTTAAGCTTGGTGCCCTCCCGATGTTTTGCACACAGACTCAGCTGCAACCAGTGTGGCCAATGATCAGGAGTTTAACAACCTTTTAAAATATGAGATCCTGTAGATAAATGCAATGTAACCCAATAGCTGGCACAAACTTAGTCTTTTGCAAAGGTTGCATGGACTTTGCAAGATAATCAACAAACATATTTTTGTTTGTTTATTTAGATTCTTGGTTTGTAAATAACCGATGATGGCTTATTTAAAGTAAGAGTTGTAAGAGAAAGCAAATAATCAGTCACTGGTAAGTGAGCATGATTATTCACTAAACTTCCAGAAAGAGGTGCTATCTGATACGTAAGTGTGTGTCTAAAGCCAACTTAAATGCAGGCTAAGGCTGCATCCAATCAAAAACATGCTCCCAAAACCCCAGTCTTAAAAACTTCCTTTGTATCCGCTGGATGACTGCTCTTTTCTGGAATTTAGTTGAAGCAAAATGTGAGTTTGTTACTTGGGGTAAAACAACCCACAGCCAGTCTAAGCACACTGACCAGCCATGCGAAAACTCGCATGAGTTGTGGCTAAGGAGTCATGGCACGTGACATCATCTCCTGGCACTGCTACTCCTTTCCAAGCATGCACATGGCCCCTATGTGCCACTGTGTCATGTGTGCCATAGGTTTGCCACCACAGCCCTAACCCTACCCTGGTGTACTCCCCTAACCCTAATATAGGGGCAAAGTTCCATGGAAAAGGGGGTGATTTTGAAAAAGCCTTCCTTGAGTAGTGTTTTCTGCACACCTCATCATTTCTGCCCATTCTAAACACTTGGCGTGCCGACAGAGAGGGCTTTGAGTGCCCACTGTGGCACGTGTGCCATAGGTTCGCCACCACTGGTCTAGCCCATTCAGTAGGGTTCATTGACCCTCTGTGATAGATTTCTTTGCAGGCTAGAGGGTTGAAGGGGTAGAGAAGTCTGTTTCTTTCATTTCTGTTGCATATGCTTAAATCTGGATCTAACCCTATGACAATAAAGAAGACAATATTTTGTTTTTGGATAGCAATTTTGTGGCTTTTCTTTCTGGATATCTTCTAATTAGGTAGTTGCAGACTGAAAAGAATTCCTTTTGAAAGATATTTCATGTAATAGAAAATGGGACATGACATTAAGTATTTCTTCCTGCATACCAAATTTTATCAAGTAAATGTGAAGTGTCTACTTGATGAAGACCAAAAGGTGTAATTTATTTCGGTCAGTGAATGAATCTACAAAGTAACTATTTATTCTTTCAGCAAATGGATTAACTTTAAAGTCCCATAAGAAATGCTCCTAATAGGAGGAAGATTCATAGCAGAAAACTTTGATTAGTATAGCCTGAATGTCTAAACAAATTAACTTGTTAAAGGTGTAATCCTATGCAAGTTTAGGCAGAAAAAAGACCTATTGCTCCTAGCTGGGGCATGCTGGAAGTTATAGGATTTCTCTCTCTCTGAATTTGTATAGGATTGCGCAATTATTGTTTAAATTAGAATGATTGTCTGTTTGAACCTTTCACAGTGGTAATTTTTTTATTATTATTATTTTTATACAGCAGCGATAATTTTTTGTATATCATGTTGCATCATATTTAACTTTAAGATCATGGCTAGAATGCTGAACTGGGGACTTGGAAGGTTCTAGTCCATATTTGGCCATAAAGCTCACTGGATGACTTTGGGCCAGTCACAAATTCTCAGTCTAAGCTACTTTACAGGGTTGCTGTTGTGAGGATAAACTGAAGCTATGTAAGCCACCTTGGTTCCTCACAAGAGGAAGAAAGGTGGGATATAAATGCAATATAATGATGATACATTGCTCTGTAAAATATATGGGAAGAAAATAAGAGAATCATAGTACAATAGAGTTGGAAGAGAGCCATCAGGTCCACCCCGCTGTTCAGTGCAGTTACAACATCCTTCTCAGATGGCTGTCCAGTTGCATCTTGAATGCTTCTAGTGTGAGAGAGCCCACAACCTCCTAGGTCAGTGATGGCAAACCTTTTAGAGACCGAGTGCCCAACCTGAACCCAGAACCCACTTATTTAGTGCAAAGTGCCAACACTGCAATAAAACCTGAATACTGAGGTTTTAGTTTAGAAAAAAACAACTCATACGTTAATATCTTTTGTCTTAAAAGTAAAACACAATAACAGAAAGAAGGAGCCATGTTCACATTCTGCGTCCCTAAGCTGGGGGACACCAGGCTTGCTTGCGCCCGGTCACATGCATTCCCTCCCTTCCTCACTCCTTGCCCCCAAACCAGCCACTGGGAATGCTGCAGGAGCTTAGGTGGCTCTTGAAAGTTTACTGGGGGAGCGGAATGGAGGAGGGAGAGAGAGACCTAAACTAAATGTGAGGAGAGGCTATCGCTGGTCCCTTCCATGCTTCCATTGGGATCTTCCTCAAGGTGCCCCCCGCGGCGCTGCCAAGCCTTGGCGAGTGGGGACAGGTGGGGAGGGGGGTCCCTGCCACATGCCCACTCCTCTCACTTCGCAGCAGTTCCAGGCTCCAGTTTTCCTTATTTTGGCCTCCCTCCCCAGGAAGTGCCATATTGATCCTGGGTGCCCTCTCTCTCCTGCTTGCTCCAGCTGCTGCTGCCTCGATCCTGTCACTCCCTTCACCCAGCTTCCTCCCCCCCCCCCACTGCCACTGGTATGGGAGCCCGGTACAGGCAGGATGGCGCACGGCTGCCTGGCTGCGCCTGCAGCTACAAAGTCGGAAGGGTTCCACCACTGGTGCTAGGAGAGTGGCTTGGGCGGCCACTCACATGCTGCAGGTCAGGAGGAGGCAGGAGGAGGGCGCCACCACCAGCGCTCGGCATGCCTCCTCACTGCTTGCCCACTCCCTTTCTGGCGTACCTCCCATGGTGGTTGTGCCTGCCTCTGTCCACCTGTTCGACGCCGCCTCTTGTGGCGAGTCGCGGCTAATGAGTGATGTTGTTGCCGGGCGCCATTACTATTTCCGAATAAGTGTATGGCTGCTGAGTGATGCTGGGGTGACTTGGCTCGTGTGCCAGCAGAGAGGGTTCTGCATGCTCACTGGCACATGTGCCATAGGTTCACCATCACTGTCCTAGGTCATTGGTTTCATTGTTGTACTGCTCTAATATTTTTAAATTCATAGAATAGTAGAGTTGGAAGGGGCCAGAGGGCCATTGATTTTAACACTCTGCTTAGTGCAGGACTCCAGGTTAAACCATCCCTCTCAGATGGCTGTCCAGGTGCATCTTGAATGCCTCTGGTGTGGGAGAGACCACAACCTTCCTAGGCTCTTGGCTCTAAGTCACAATGTTTTTCCTGATGTTCAACTGCAACCTGGCTTTCAGTAACTTGCACCCTTTATTCCATACTTGCAGAGTGCTATCATATCTCCAGTCTTCTCTTCTCAAGGCTAAACATGCCCAGTTCTTTCAATCTCTCCTTATAGGGCTTTATTTCCAGTACCCAGATTATTCATGTTGCCCTCCTCCTAACCCTTTCCAGCTTGTCTATATATTTCTTAAACTGTGGTGCCCAGAACTGGACTTAATGATACCTAGTGTTGAGGACAAAAATGTCCCTTTTATTTTCAACCTTTTGTGTCTCTCTAATAGAACACTACGTAACTGACCCTTGTTTGATCATCAGGAAAATTTTATATTCTTTACTAACCAGTGCTGAATAAAGAGGAATGAGTACTTTGCATGATTTGGAAGTGATACTTCTGTTAATGCAACCTAAAATAGCATTTGCCCTTTTAGTAGCTGCATCTCATTGTTGACTCATATTCAGATTGTGATCTACAATCCAATTTCCAAGATCCTTTTCACTTGCAGTATAACTGAGCCAAGTATTCCCCATTTTGCAACTGTGCATTTGGTTTCTTGAAAACACTTGAACACTAAAGGAAAATCATTACCTTTGTAGTTCCCATTGTGGGTAGCATGGAGTTGAATATTCCATATGTTGAGTAAAAGTAGCTCAGTTGTATTCAGCTTTTGATACCAGATGTAGTTATTCATAACTGAAACATGCTAGTTGAAGCAATGCTTTTTTTCACATTAGAACAATACTTTTTAGATTTTGGCAAATTTTAATTGTAAACTTTGCAATTTTTGCTTTTTGACAACAAATCCAAGGTTCTGCATGTTTTATTAATAATCACAGTCACATCAGTTGAACTTGACAGCTATTCAGTATATCTTTTAAGACAGGATATTCCACAATACTGATAGACTCTGAACTTTTTAAATTATCATTTTTTACAGTAACTTCAGGTTACTGTAAAAGTAAATAATTAATATTTACAAAGTATGATAAAACCAAAATATAGATAATACCTTTCTTATAAACATGAGTAATAACTTTTATTTATTAAATTGTATATACAATTATTATAAGACATATTTCTTATTGCATCAAATTTTACTGGCCCTCATACTCTGTATTTTAAAAAAATAGTTTGCAAGTGTGCAGGCAGGGTTTGTTGATCTTAACTTTGTATTGTTACAGTACCTATTTACTTGTTTTGTAAGAAATACCCTTTTTCCACTCAGGAAGTGTTAAAAAAATCCTTTCATTTTTGTAATAAAACAAACTTGTCATGTCCTTCCCTGCTTGATTATTTTAAATGAACATGGACCTCTCTTATGTTATGTTGCTCCTCATGACATTGTATATATAGGAGAAGTCATAAACAAGAATATGTCATGTTGTACATTCTATATTTTGTATAGGATTGTACGCTTTACGGAGAACGCTTGGGAAAAAAGCCAACCTTTCAGATGATGCTGTGGCTGGATCAGTGATTATCACATGTGCTGACTTCCTGCGGGCAATGAATGACATCAGGCCCAGTGCCATGAGGGAGGTGGCAATTGATGTTCCAAAAGTAAGTGTTCTCTGAACAATATTCTAAAATGATTGTTTTAGATTTTAGCACCAGGAAAGGCACATACTTGATAACTGGCAAAAGTAATCTAAGGAGACCATATTTACCTCCCAAGGAAACAATATTCTATTTCAGACCATTTTCTCTGCATTCTGTGGGGTGGCTTATCTAGGAAGATCTAACTCACAATGAAAGATAGCACAGGGACAGTTGAGTCCTGCATCTTCACATCCTCCTCGTCCGTCCTTACCTTCAAGCATCAGGCTGCTTTAGGAATTAAGTTCTCACATATTAAGCAACTTGGGACCAGGATATCCAGCAAGACTGTCTTTCCATATATATACCCAACTAGGGATGCGTGAGGAATCTAAACCTAGGCTTCCCTGGCATTGGTCTGTTTTGTAGCCCTGAATCTGATTTCCTGGAGAGCACATCCAGCGTTCACAGGGCAATCGTAAGGAATCGAGCCCTGTGAACTTCTCCAGGAGCACCTCTTGTCTGCACCCAGTGCTGCCACTGCTAGCTACGCTGGGTGGGGAAGAAGGTGGATCACTGGGAATGGTGCCTGATGTGGTCACTCAGCACCCCTTTTCCATGCCCAGCACTTCCACTTTTTGGACAGCTGTACCTGGAGTAGGTTGCCAGTTGTGCAACTGGGGAGGGGGAGTTCTGCAAGGGTTTGTGGACTTTCTCTTGGCTCAGCTTGCTATAGAGAGGGGAAAAGAATGCATATAAAAGAAATGTTTGGAGAAAGAGGAAGGCGCTAGAGCTCACCTGCCTCCTCTTCATTCAGTGTTGATGGGCCATTAGCCACTAAAGTTACTAATGAAATTATTTGAGAAGCTTACCTTGTGTGGTTCAAAGCCACCATGCCCTTCTTCAGTTTTGTTGGTACCAATTCCACGCACTTCTTCTGTCCTGCTTTTTTCCACTCAACAACATTTCTTAAGTACTTTGATAAGCCTCCTAAGTACTTGATGAAGCCATCTTATCCCATAATCATAATGCTAGCCTGTCAGCATAGGATCCTAGTTGAATACGATGAGAACAGTTTTGTGGGGAGGGGAACAGTGAGGGAGAAATTGTTTCAATTTCTTTTGAAACAAAGAAAAGAGCAATTCTGTGGGTTTTAGACAGTGGCTGTGGTGCCATAGGATGCTACAGATCTCTTCCTTGATGCTTATAGATAGGGGTACAAGTGAGAAGAATGCAATCCAATTGTGTGGCCTCGTAAGAAAAATAAGAGAGAGAGAAAAGGTGGCTCCAGTTCAGAGTCTCTAGCTTCCCCTGAATGGAAGTGAAATCAACTCCATCTTCCTCTCATCCTGCCCATCTCGTCCTGGCAGGGTATAAGTTAGCTGGAGAGATAGTCAGAATCTCAACTCATAAAGAGAATAGTATAAGTCAACTTTTAAATTTTAAATTGTATTTACATTTTTTCATTGATTTTTTAAAAGGAAGCTTTTCTCTGTACGAATAACCATCTTTATCATTTCCCAAATACAAAAATCCATAGTCTATGAAACAGTCATTGTACATGCACTGGAAGAAAATAAACTGCTTTACTTAGCTCTGTAATATCAGACCTTGTTTCTCCTACCAGTTACTGGCATTTCTGTTTTCCTTGCTACTTGCCTTTGTGAAGGTAGGGCTGAGCCGAGGCAGAAAAGAACAACATTGGAAAGAAAACTTTGTCCAGTGCACAGGTTTCTATTTTCACATACTGGATACAACAGTTATGCCCCAAAGACACCAGTGGCAAGTATGGAGCCACACTCTGTAAATGACTAGTCATCCCCTAACTTTGAAGCTGGAAACTGTCCCAGCAGTTCTGCAACAGTCCTCATCTTCTCTCCATCTCCAGGGTTGGGCAGATTGTTGAGAAGCTGCTTGTCCAAAGCACCTGGAGAGCCTTGACTGTGCAGTGCCAAAGCGGTGCAAAATACACCACCCAGCTTTTGACAGCTTGTTCTTCCTTTGTGGGAGGAATGGCTCACTTTCCAGTGGTGGCACCCAGTGCGTTGTTCTTCTCTCTGGACCTCATCTTGGAAAAGGCCAGGAGGAGAGATCTGGATGTTGCTGTGTTAAGGTGCTGAGAAGCCTTTAAAAACACCCTAGATGGTTTCCCATGCCTAGGGGGAGGTGCAGATGACTTATTAGAAAGAGGATGGGGGAGAAGATGGTGGCTTGATTTTTTGCTTGGCAAGTAAGACTGGATAGAAATTGTGGACTACTATTCCCATTCTTGTGTGGTTAACTTTACAAGCTGTCATGGGATTCCCTCTATATGTTGAAAAGACATCAGATGCATACATAAACAAAGAGAGCCATGTTAGAGTATGAAGGGGAAAAAGTCAAAGATTCTAGGAAAGACATTATCTTTATTAGGCCCAACCAAATTTCATTTAAAAAAACAAGCTTTCACATTCTTCAGAACTTTTTCAGGCTAGATGTTACAAAAAGGAAGGAATAGCAGAAGGTGCAGAAACACTGGCAACTTTGACTAGGTATTATGAGGTTTGCAGTTTGGATTGGATAGATCCAGTCTCAAAATGGAGAATGAATGAGTCAATGATAGTTGTAAGTAAACAGCATAGTGTGACAAAGAAACAAGGTCTGATTTTAAGAATGAAGAAAATATGTAACTCTGTTTAGTTGTAAATTAGCAAGGTTTTGTGGTCAGATTTGCAACATTGTGTTTAGTAAATAGATAAAGATGTATCAATGGAAACATTGATTTTACTCAATGATTTAAACTGGTCTTTTTTTCTTGCTGGTGTAAAATACCGGGAGTCCTTTTTGTTTAAGGGTTTTATCTTATATTGTTCTTGTAAACCTCAGAATATTTCCTGCTGCTTCATGAAAGTGGATTGTTTTACAGGTATCCTGGTCAGACATTGGGGGAATGGAAGAAGTCAAATTGAAATTGAAACAAGCTGTTGAATGGCCATTGAAGCACCCCGAGTCTTTCATTCGAATGGGCATTCAGCCACCCAAGGGTGTACTACTGTATGGACCTCCAGGCTGCTCAAAAACAATGATTGCAAAGGCTTTGGCCCATGAAAGTGGGCTAAACTTCTTGGCAGTGAAGGTGAGTTGTAAAGTGAAGGCATAGTGGTTCAGATGTTGGACTGGCACTCTGGAGATCCTACTCCCCACTTGGCCATGAAGGTCACTGGGTGACCTGAAAGTATTTACATTGGATCAGTCATTTGCAGTCTGAAATGGTATGCTCTATTCCATGAAATTCTGTGCACTAAAACTACAACAAGCATTTCTTGTAAACAAAAGTGAGTTTAGAAGGCTTGTCTTTGCACTGAGAAGTGTGGAGTGGTTGCTCAGTCCTTTTCATTGCCCGGTATTTTCTTGCTGTAGTTTCCTCCCTTGTCATTATTATAATCGGAATCCAGCAGAAGGAAAGGCAGGTGGTTGGGGAGATTTTAATTTTGTTGAAGTGGGAAGCTGTGTATAGGAAAAGGCTTACACACTTCTTTGCTGACTCTATCTGCAAGAATGTCCCCTGCCAAACAGAGAACATTTCCATTTACAAAACAGTCTTAAAAATAGATTGCATTTCATGTATTATTATAACTCATAGTCTGTAGCAGTTCTTAAAAGTGAGAGATTAAATAATTAGACATCTTTTTTGATGTTCACACTGTGACGGATTACCAAGTGGTCTTCTGCTGTCTGGATCTTAAGAATACTTTAGAAACTAGCATGCAATGCTCCAAAAGAGGAAGAACACAGATAGAAGAGAGTCAGCTGCTATAATATTATTTGGATTCAGCAAGTGCATTCAAGTGCAGTAAATGCTTTTGGGCAGAATGTGTTCCTTGTGTTTTATTTTTCATTTTAAATAGGATCCTTTCAGTGTTGTCGTTCTGATTTTGAATTAGCAATAATTTTAAAAATACACACTGTTTTCAGGGTTCTGACTTCACCTTGGCATTTGCTAACTTCCTGTATGCCTCTTCAGATGCCTTTCTTCAGCTCTCTGCACTTGACATGTGCTTAAGTTTGGTTTGTCACAGGGTCAATTATGTCAAAATACTTTCCAGTTAAAATTTCCTCTGCTGTTTTCTCTTTTCCTCTTGACTGCAGCAGTTAAAATAGATTAATGGGGCTTGGAAAGCCACTGCTCTGCTTTATGAGCAGCTATCTTCAATGTCTGGAGGAAGACTGGTTAGCGTTTTTTGGCAGAGCCTTCATTAGTTGCTGTTTAGTGAGCAGACACATAAATTCAGGGCCCAGTGACAATAGCTGAGCAAGTAGTGGATACTTTAAAAAATAGCAATCTTGCATACAGTTACAGGCTGCAAACCCATTTAGTAATCAGATTTCAAGCAAATAGGAGTGAGGCATATCATGTTAGGGCTGCACCAAGAATGCAGGTTTGGTTCTCTCCTTTTCACAGATTCAGTCCTACCAGTGCTCGTTAACATTTATATAACACAGCATTAGATGTTGTACACAGTGCAGAAATTACATAATTTTTCCATTGAATTTACTGTCAGGATTTCAAAAGTTGCACACGGAGAAGATAGAATAAAAAAACTTGGATGGCTGCAGAGGATGGAAAGGTGTTTCAAGTAGCCTGACTCCAAGTAGTTCAGCTTTTATAGGTAATAACTAATACCTTGAATGAGCCTGGAAACTTGGAAATGAAGCAGAATTTGAATATGTTGCAGATTGAATGAAACCAGAATAATATGCTCCATAAAGTAGGCCCAGACTGCAGTCTGACTACAGTTTGCACCAGCTGAGGTTTCAAAATGTTCTTCATGTGAAATTCACTGCAGCAATTTAATCTGCACATAACCAATGTGTGATGTGTGATACTGGCCAAACCTGCTCTATTCAGGAAAGGGTACAGTGAGATATTTTTATAATTAATAAAATAAGCACTTGCAAGTTCAGTTTTCAAGGTAGAATCCTAGCTATTTTTTATATCTCCTAAAACACATGGTGGAACAAAAAAGTCTGAAAATTGCTTGATTTTTTTTCATGCAGGGACCTGAGTTAATGAACAAATATGTTGGAGAATCTGAACGTGCAGTCAGAGAGGTAAGGAATTGTGAACTTAACTGTACAAACACATAGATAGCATTTACTAATAGTGTATTTACTTCTGTCACAGTTCTTTACATCATGTAACCATCATCCAGTAATTATTTGGGCAAGACTGTATTTGTAACTTTAAAGATGTTTTTCTATGTTGTTTTTCCTTCAAACAACCCTCAACATCTTATTTTGGAGGAGGGGAAAATGATGCAGGACATCCCACAAACTCTGTCTATGATTGTATGGACTTTCCCCCTATATGTAGACAATTCAAGCCATCATGTAGCTCCAATCATCATTTTAAGGACCTTATATTACTTTCTTACATTGCCTAGCATTCATTGCATATCCCCTACCAACACAGAGATTTCTGTAGAATCAAAGTTATTCTCTGGTAACCAAGGAATGCTGTAACCCATCTCATCCATGTGGGATAACTTATCATATTTGAAGTATTAAGATGTCATAGTTTGTCAGCAATTGACTTAGTATATTAACTAAGAATTTTTGCCTAAGAATTTACTTATTCTTAGGAATTTAGTTATATTGATTATAACATTTTAAATTATTTAAACTGATTTAATTATATTTTAACTTTTGCATATATTTTAAATGCTTTACTTGTATGAGCTTGAATGTTGTGACCACCCTGGAATCCCAATCACTGGGAATAGGCAAGATATAAATAATGACAATAATAGTAATATGTTGTGATTTGGGAAAATGTAGAGTACAATATTATGTATACATTTGTGCAGAACATTCAATACTGGGACTTTCAAATCTCCCAGCTTTTTAATTTTTGTTGACAGTTTAAAGGAATCCATCTCCTTGAGTTTGCAGCAGCTGATAACTAACTAGTAATTTATGAGGCTGAAAGTGAAAAAAATCTCATATCTATTAACAGAGTTTGCCAAATGATGGTATAAAAAGCAACATAACATACTTAAAATAGTAAACCTCAAACCTTCCTCCAATATGGTATCATAATGTTGTCCTTTAGTATTAACGTGACATCAGTGGCTCCTCCCATTGTTAGTATGTGGCCCCACTCTTCAGACTTGTGGTCAATTCAGCACTTGGGCTGAAAACGGTATCCTATCCCTGTGTGAAAGTGTGTTGCAACTCTGTTTCTTGTTATATAAAGATTAACTGGAATGATGCTATGTTGGCAGGTAGTTTGCAGCAGGCTAACTGCATGGTGCTAGCAGGTCATGAGAGAGCAAGAAAGAAAGAAATGAATGAATATTTTTCTCATGTATCCTATTATCCTTTTCTTATTGGAAAAGATGTCTTACCACAAATTTAGTTTGGAATAGGGATCTAAATTGATTAGATTTTAATAGTGGTTTAGACAGTTAGTGGCAGTCCATGTGAATGTGGGTTCTTACCAATTGTTGGTATATTGATGCTGCAGTGGTGGGATTTGATTGAAAATTTGGGGTGGTTTAAAACTGGATGCCTCTTCCAGTTCTAGCTGTCTGGTGAGATTGCTCTTCATTGCCTTTGAAATGAGAGGAGAGCCAGGGTGGGAGGGAAGCAAGCTATGCTTTCACAGTGTGTTGTGATTGGGAAGAACGTTTAGAATACCCCACCTATCATCATGCAACAAAACAATAATATCACTTTTGCTCAGTGGTGTGGCTTTTTTGTATATACCAGAGAGTTTACTGGGAATTTGTAGAACTAATCTCATTAAAAGCTGTGGTGCTGTTTTGTCATTGGAATTTAGATTGAGTTTTTGATTACAAAACTGTTAAAATTTGTGATTTTTCCCCCCTTTCCACCTTCTTGTGACTTGGCAGATATTTAGGAAAGCCAGAGCTGTTTCACCTTCCATATTGTTCTTTGATGAAATAGATGCCCTGGCAGTAGAACGAGGGAGGTAAGATAAATTATTACAAAAACTGAAAGTTCATATTTCTGTTAAGTGTTTCCTTGAGACTTGTGATCCAAGATTCCAGCTCTTTTATTGCCTTGACCTTTCACGTGAAATGTGTGTGCTTTGTGAATAAGATTTTTTAAAAGTATTGTGTTGATTTATTACCCTACAAGGTGTCTGTTACATTACTGAACATGATGTAAAATTAGCAGAGCAATAATTGACCATGTTAGCTGCTAAATGTACAGGTAAATTGTTGGACTAAGTTTGACTGCAGTTAAACTGGAATGGATTTGCTAGTTTCTGCCCTTTGATGAAATATGTATTTAATTTAATATAATACCCCTACAGTTTTCTTCTGCATTTCTTCTGTCTTTTGCTAAGATGTAAAACTTTGAACATTCTGTAGAGCACTGTCCAAAGTAATTATAAGCAAAGTTGTATATAGAAACAAATATGCCAAATACAGAATTTTATATGATTTAAAAGCAAGCCAGTATGATAGAAAAGCTGTTATGATGAAAAAATGAAATGTGTATTTGTGGAGGCTTTGTTTAGAATGTTTCAGTATCTCTGCCAGGTGTACCTTATCTGGAGATTCTTGAAGATGGGGACAAAGGCATTATTGGCCTAGCTTGTTTGAGACAGGACTTTGACATTGTGTAGTCATGTTCCATTGGAAATATTTGTTTTTGAAGCATAAAAAAGAGCAGAGCAGGACAAAAATACTTTATTGTCAAATCTGAACCATATGGGAGGTAAAATATGTAACATAGTTCTCATAAAATTCATCTGAAATTAAATGGTGTAGGAAACCAGACAAGGCACTTATTGGAAATGGCCTGTTTTTACAGGCTGATTTTCCACAGTAGGAATTTGCAAATGCATTAGAGATGCTAATGATTTGCAGCCTCCAGAGATCTATTTCCTTTTCTACAAACAGATTGAAGCTTTCAAGGAAACACCTGTTGATATTGTCTCCCCTAAAAGCGTATTCTTTAGAGAATATGTTGCTGCTGTTAAATACGCCATGCCCTTTCCCTATCGGTTCTGCTTTATTCTGGTTATAATTTATCTATTAATTGGTAGCATTTGTAATTTAAAAAAGTATCAGGAATGCAAGATGCTGCAGGTGGCTAACTTTTTGTGGTTAAGAATAACATTCCTGTCTCCATATATGGAATAGGAAAATGTAAATCATGAAGCAGTGTCATAAATTTTAAAGCTGAAGCATAGGGCTATACATGCAATGCAGCACTCAACACTTATTTGTGCACTTGTAGAAAGGTTTCTTCCTGAACTCTGACTGACCACAAAGCTACTAGGAAACTGAAGGCATATCCAAGGATATCATTCGAAAAATTCAAATAGAGTGGAGTGGACCTCCACAGAATGTTTCTGTTCTGCAAGCAGTTGCCCATGATGCAAGCAGTTGTGCAATCAATTGTGCTAATGGAATATATAACCTGTTACCCAGTGGGTTATGCAGAAGTTACATGCAAGTACAACTCAGGGAACAGATTGCACTGTCTACTTGTGAAGGCTGTTCTGCAACCGAATTTGTATGTACAACCCATTGTGCAAACATTCGTGTACCATGAATGCATAACTGTTTTTGTGCAAATGTAACTTCAGTTGGATTCACTATTTTTGTATCATTGGTAATCTGGCTGCCCCTTAGAGCAACATTATTTGTGCTGACAGAATAACACAATTTGATACTCCTGTCAGTACACCCCTGAAGTGCTGACTTGTTCTATGTGTAGAATGGTGCTCTGAGAGTCAGACTGAGTGACTTTATGTTTTTCCCCCTATTGAGAAGTAAGCATGGTGGGATATAACACTTGGACTCGTGCCATAGGCCTGATCGGATCAGGGCCACTTCACCTGCAGTTCGTATTGACAAAAAAGGGTACAGTATTTTAACAGGTTATTTTTGGACATGTAATCTACAGGCACAATAACCCAAACTTGATGTGGACTGCAGCAGCAGGAAAGGGGTTAAAGGTCCCCTATATGCCATACTAGAATTCCATTCTAGATTAGAAACATAGAAAACAGAGCGAGTCAGAAGGGGTCTCCCGGGCCATCTAGTCTGACCTCTGGCACCAGCCGGCTCCGCTCACGACATGCCCACCATGTGGATGTCTAGCCTATCCTTGAACACCCACACCGATGGGGCCTCAACGACCTCTCATGGAAGCCCCATTGCACACCCTTGGGGTCCTGACTGTCAGGAAATGCTTCCTAGCATCCAAATGGAACCTTGGCTCCCTGAGCTTTGCTCTGTTGGCGCGTGTCCTGCCTTTCTCTGCAGGGGAGAACAGGTCTCTACCCAAGGTCCTTGACACTTACATTTGAGCAAGGAAAAACATTGCTGCTACCTGTGTCTTTAGAGTAAGGACAGCAACTTAATTGGTAATGCTTACTTTCTTCCTAGGCAACCTGATTGACTGAAAGGGATCTAACAGAATTGTGAGAGAGGTTCCTGTGATAAGAAAAAAGGTTGCCTAAAAATATGGAGAGGATGGTCCTATTGATGTCAATTGACACAAGATTTCTCTCTCTTACCTTGAAATATGTGGATGTGTCTTGGTCATTGGTTCATCTTTTTGCCCACATAAAGCCTCTTCACAACTGGAAAAAAGTGGCTTTAGGAGGCTGGGGTACTGTTAGAAAGAATTCATGCTTCTTGGGTGGTTATAAACCCTTAAGAATGCCTGCCTAACATTTAGAGATAGTTGGGTTAAGAAGGGAGCAAGAAAATTGCTAAGGCAGTGGAACAACAGAAGAATTATGCATTATCTGCAAATTTTAATAAAATAGAATGGAGAAGGGAATGTCATGAATTTCAAAGCAATTGAGAAACTAAATGAGAGGGTTTGTACTGAGGTGTTGTGGTTGTTCTTGCTGACTATCATAAAACCATTTTGGCAGTAAGATTTGTTAAGAGTATTCAATAAATCCCCCCAAGCAGAGGTGTATTTGGCTTACATTAAATGCAACTGGACAATCCACAGTCCAAATGTACAATAAGGAACAATCTGTACTACTGAAGAAATAGTTGTCTTTCCTATTTCTTTGTGGTTTTAACTAATACTGGGTTTCCTTTAGTTAGCTATGTCTTCTTGGCAATATCGCAGAAAATAAGTCTGCATTGAGGTCATGTTCACATGAATGTTCCAGATACAACTGCATGCAAAAAGGAATGTTTGTTCCTAAAAAACCCTTTCCTTTTCAAAACTTCAGATTCTTAACAGATTGTGCAGCTGCAGAGAATTATGGGTACTTGTAATTCCTTGGTATCCTTACCATGTAAAACCTAATTCCACTGACCAGTAGAGACTGCCAAAAGGAAATGGCTTGGTAATTAAACTTGAAGGTGATGAATGAACATGGCTCTGTGTAAATGCTGTTCAGACAGTCTGTTTGCTGAACTTTGGATATCTACGTGCTTTGGAAATGGGATGCTGTTTATATATGTAGAATTGTGGAGCGTTTGGGGCAATAGACATGTTTGTGCCTTTTTGTTTTTTATAAGCAGTTTCAAGCATGAAAAATTGTGGGCTGGAGAGAACACTAGTGTTAAATTCCTTTTTAAAAACCAGTTCTTTCTGTACATTACCGAAGGCTGAGAACTATATAAGGCACCTAGTTTGCTTTTTGAGGCCAGGGGGAAAAACCTAGGAGAAGAAGGGTAACCACTGTGTTCTCAACTGCAGCCATTTGGAGAACATTTGATTATACTTTAAATGTATATGGAGAACTTATGTGCTTTGGTCGTGTAAGATGAAGTGGCTGAATAATCAAAAAGCTGTCAGACCAAAATCTATACTTAAACCAGGAGACTTCAGGTTTAGCTGATGAATACCTGGAAACAATATAGAATAGATATAAATTTAACAACTTAAATTTGAGGTCACTATTACTTCAGTAAAAATAATATTTTGCTTTATACCAAAGAAAGTATATATTCTTTCTTCCCCTGAAATCAAAAGTAAATAGCCCTATTCAGGCATTCTGTATCCAATTAGCGTCTGGGATCTGAATAAGGTTCTCTACATGCATTCCGGCTTGTGTGGGAAGTCTCCACTAATACAAGATCTCCTTGTCAGTTGCCCGCCTTGAGTAGAAAATGACAAATGTGATGAGGCAGAGCAGGGCTGGAGTGCTTCCTCACCTCACGTGTTTTCTCTGCTTGGGTATAGAATACCCGAATATGTGCCTGAATGTCTTCTTACAAAGTAAGTTCTACTTCAGTGAGTTTTTAGGCTACATGAGCATTTAATGCAGCTGTGTCCAAGTGTTAGAGTAATGAAACAAGGGCAAACTTAAGCTACATGCATAAAAGTTCTACAAAGCCAAGTCACCTCTGTTTTAGAAAATGGTAATGCATTTCTGAGTTATGCATGTTTTCTGATTAGCATTATCTTTAATTAAGGTCAGTGCAGCCGTAACAATGAACCATGCCTGAAAGCACTGGAGGGAAGCAACATTTTTGTTTAACAGTGTCTGATTCCAAAGTTCAGTCTCTTAATCACAGTTAAGGTCAGGAATCGGGGCTAAACAAAGATGTCATGAACAATCCAAGGGCTGAGAACCAAGAAGACAAACAGAGGTGCAGGTACATTGGGGCAGGACAACAGGGCAGCGTTCAGGTGCAGCAAGCTAGGGCAGGTAGCAAGGTAGTGAGGCATGGCAAGGCAGGATACACAGCAAGGTTCAGACAAGATGCAGGAGCTGAACCACAGATAGTAGGGAAAGATACATTGCTGAGGCTTGGCAGGAATGCAGAATCCGGGGCAGACAAGGTGCAGGCACTACAGCAAACAGGAAAACTTCTGTTGTTGAGGCAAGTTCTGAAGGGAAGAACCTGCTCTTTTCCCAGGGCTACAACTGGCTCTTACCAGGAGGCTGAGAGCTTCAGTAAGGCCTGAAACTGATCTTGCAAATACTGAGGTGTGTGTTCCAGTTATGGTAACCAGGGGGAGCCCTAGAACAGC